TTTTTTCTCTTTTTTAGTTTTAATATTATTATTAATTTTGGGTGAGTGGAGAAAAAGACGAAGATCACATATGAGGGTATTAATTGAGGGGACATGAATGGGCCCTAATTGGGGGCGCTTTTGATGTGCTAATTACAATTATCACCAAAAGACTTGTACCTCATTTGCATTTGTTTCCACTATTAAAATTGCTCCCTTGTCTTAACCTATAGTCTTTAATTCTATTAATTTGGGGGTAAATTTATTTGAGTATACCTTTATATATATTTATTATGTACTTGTAGCATTTTTTAATTTATTTTTAGTCCACTATATTGGTCATTTTTCATAAAAAGTTCATTATATAGGGTGTCATCAATAACGATCCACTAAGTTGTCACTTTAATCAAAACTCGTACAATATCCAACATAGCTTAGCAGTGTACCTTGATTTTTGTATGAATTTTATAACGATGATAACTTAGTAGAACATTCTTGATGACGTCCTATATAATGGACTTTCTCGTAAAATAGCCAACATAGTGGACAATTCTATAAATCTTGCCTAATTTGGGGTGTGTGATATCAATTATTGCTCGTTAGAGCACCCACAATGCTTTGGGTCTCTTACAAAAATATCATATGTCATGTAGGAAATAGACTTAGTCTATTAAAAAATACTTTCCAATACAATTAAAAGTAGACTAGGTCTAACTTATGTGGCAATCAAAGTATCATTAAGGATATTCGATATTTTAATTAGGCAATGCTACATGTACAGTTATAGTTTCCAACATTTATTGACAACAATAGTTAAAAGTATCATTAATTCAAATTTTATTCATACATTTATTTGCATCTCAACCACCCACATTATGCCACGTCATGTTGTCATTGCATGTTGTACAAAAAAGTTGTACATATAGCTTTTACCATTTTAATTATATTTACATTAGCTATTTTGGTAAGTTGATTGAGTAGTTATTTCATTAATGTAGTTTGGTAACTATATTGTCTACAGGTTATGATTATTAGTTTCCTAACTAACAAAGGCTCCACCTCAATTCGTGTTTTGACGTTTAGAATAATGCTAACGATATGAATTTTCGTTTCCATATCATATCCCCTATATTTAATTAAATAATGGGTTCACATAGATTTAAAATCCGGACCCCTCGTTGACACGGGCTGAACTCAGGGTCATCGGGTCACCAGCCTAACCGTCGAGTAGTTGGGTCAGTTGCTGAAGCGGATAATTAGTTTTATAAAATTTTAAATTATATTGAGAGTATTTTTACCTTATAATAAGACATAAAATATTAAAAATAAATTATTTATATGTAAATTTTGTAACCTAAAATCTAAATAGCTTTGTATTATATCATAAATATTTATCACATAATATACATAATTTAATTTTAAAAATAAAAAAAAGTAAATAAAAAACAAAAATAAATATGTTACGGCAGGATCAAACCGAGTTGATCAGCTGGGTCAATATCCAAGTCAAACGAGTCAAGGCCGGTTCGACCGGATCCCTTGCTACACAGTCCAAACAATCCACCCAGACCGGTTCTTGTCCCGGGTCGATCGGGTTCCAGTCGACTCGTCGGTCTTGTCCGTACGTGTCACAAAAAAATGTGTGTTCAGTCTAGATAACAAACTCACATGTTTCGAATTCTAATATTACAATATTTTATACTCCGTAACTAGGTTTGGATCATTATTTTTTATACAAAAACAAATAATCAATAAATTATTTTACCTTTCCTTAGGAATTAACATAAGCTATTTTATCTTTATTTTTTATAAGTATTATTCTTATTATTTAAACTTTATATCATTGTTATTTATAGTTTACTTTCTATATATAATATATAAACTGAGTTAGCTTTGAACGGCGTTCGATCTAACATCTATACCGCATATAAAATAAAAAATTAATTTTATCTATATTTACAATTAGCACTTAATTTATTTATTAAAGCCAGATTAAAATATAAAATAATATTTATTTTATAAAATAATAAAAATATAATTCACTATTACACCACAAATAGTCATTTTCATGTATTTTTCCACATATTTCGGGAATATGTGTGTTGACATCCGAGTTTGGCTAATACAAGATACTGGGCAAGGACGACCTCAATACCTGGGTCGATGCCCGACTAAATTCGAAATGCCGAGCTGACTGGAAAACGAAGTCGATAAGGACGACGAGTAGATCGACCAATGAGGTCGGCACTCTGCAGTCAAATAATGATGCCGAATAGAGAACTCAAACCTGCGAGGGCAATAGAGAAGTATTGATGAAAGTCCTACTTGAAGATTCGGCGAGATCGACTTCCGTATGAACACAAGACTTAGAAATGATATAATATATTGTCACTTGTCAGCTGATGATTGTCGATATGACATGATATCCTAGTCCGCCATCCTAGAGCATCTAGACCCATAGGGTGTCCTGTCCGCATTAAATGTCCCACATGTGTGCATTTAATGTTTGACATGTAATCATCATAATAACCTCAATATCGCATTTAGTATTTGTCAGAGCAGCGCCAACCAGTCACTCCATAACAATGTGCGACAAGACAGAGCGAACAGTGGATGAACAATGCCAAATGAAGGCTACTATAAATAGAATATCGCCCTCAGTTATTAAGGGTTGTTGAACCTTGCACCAACTATTTCTCCCTCTACATTTACTCCCTCAATCTGTAATATTTTCCGCGAATACTCCAAGATGTAACAAAAGTGTCGACCTCATTATCAGAGGCCGACCTCGTAATTAATATAAAAAGTCTTATTTTCCCGTATATCTTCTGTAATCCTTTTCCTTACCATTACTACATCCTTATTTAGCCGTTGATCGGATCCTACCATCAACAGTTTAGCGCTAGAAAGAAGGCCTCATAAATTTCTTGGTGTCGACTTTGTGGAATATCGCCTTCAATCTCACCTTTTTCTCTTTTTTTTTCTCTAAAAAACTGCCGAAAATGACTTCGTCCGGTCGTAACAAATCGACTCATCAGTCTGAAGATCAGACGCGTCGTCGCGAAGGCGAGAAACCAACACACCGGTGCCAACCGAGGCCTCAGGGCACGGTCCCGCCGGTCCCAACTTTTGCAGCAACGATGCAATTACACTCTTATGTCCTCAAGGTTCTTGAGGGAGCTTTTGCAAAGGCATTGGCTTGCCACGCAGCTGGAGTGGCCACCGCGGTCGCAACGGAAAATCCGGGTAACATTTTGTTCCAAACCCCATCTCCCCCAGAAAGAAGTTGGGGGAAAAGGAAAGGGGTCTGTTCGGTCCAAAACCACGGCCCAATCCCCGAGTCGCGAGGCTCAGCTACGCCGTGAGAAAGGTGTCGGTCCGACACTTACCAAGCAGACTAGCGAGAGTCGGTCGGCGCCAAATCATAATGCCCGCAAGTCATTTTATCAACGCTTGGGCAAAAATCGTGACCTGAGGTAGGTCATTGAACGTGGAAAAACCATCGGGCGTGAGACCGACGAAGTCACATCCCTTTAACGAAAAATTGTCGAGCTGAAAGCTCGGCCCACATCACAAGGGGACGTCTCCTATTCCTCCACTACGATCAAACGCGCGGGTCGTAGAGCACGCTTCCCCTCTCTCCCTAGATATTCTTCAGGAGACCGTGCCCAAAGAGATCAAAGTCCCGCATATCGGACTTTATGATGAGAGCTCGAACCCTGTCAGTACACCTCCTAGATGGACATGTACGACCCAACATACGCCCTTCGGACCAAGATGTTCTCTCTATCGCTGGGGTCAAAGGCTCAAAGGTGGTATCATTCACCCTACCCCCATTCCATCTCAACGTGGGGGGTAGCTCAACTCGGCGTTCTGCTCACATATCATCGGATCACAGATAAACCTCGCCCCGAAAGAATCAATCACTAACATTGTCCAAGGTGACGAAGAGAGCTTGAAGGATTCCATCTCATGGTTCAACGACCGGGTATAGAACTGGAACAATGCCATGTAGAAACCCTCTTGGTGTCCGTGCAAGTCGACCTGAGACCAAAGGCGTTGTTCTAGTGGTCCTTGTGCCAAAACAAACCGAGCACTTATCAGGAGTTTTTAGCTCAGGCACAAGACTACATCATGGCGGAGGAATGCATGTTGATCCTAACATTCGAGGTGACACCATCCAAGGAAAAGCAAAAGCCGAAAAGTCAGCCAAGTCAGCCAGGTATAATGTTGCACGACGTTCGAGCCATTTTGAGGGTTTCTGTGGATAGAGAGATAGTGATCGAGAACCCCGACAGTGGCTTCTGTCAGGCGAATTGCATGGAGATGCTGTAGTTTGACCAAAGTGAGCTGATGGCGTTGTTTTGGGATCACGGTGCGGTGATAGTTTCTGCCATTTTGGAGGCATTTAAGGGGAGAACGCAAACACGTTCGGTTGAGGCTGAGGCTACTACCTGGATGTGGCTGATGCTAGGTGCCACCTTGTTTGTGGACAAGAGTGGTAACAGAGTAAGTTCCAAACTCTTGCACCAGATGATTGATTACGTGAGTAGAGTTGGGACTTACTCCTAAGCTCGGCTACACTGGCTTACCTGTACTGACAGTTAGGTATGCCAGCAGGAGGGAAACACAGAGATTGTCTGGCTGCTCGACTTTTTTGTCGTCCTAGACATATGAGTAACTGGCATTTTGTTTGTAGTATTTTTGGGCAATTGGTAACCGAGTTACCCGGACTCGGGCCGTTCTCAAAGGAAGGCTCTTCGGAGCTGCGTTCACTATCTAGTCGCCAAATCACACAATCGAAAAGGTCCTAAACATGCTACTCGCTTGAAGGTTTGAATTTAAGCTAAATTAATATACGAAATGAGGGCAATTGAAAGCAATTAGTAAGACAAGAAAAAAAGCATGCAAGAAGATGAGAGAAATCAAGGGGGAAAGAGAGATTTTGGTTTGTCAGAGTCTCTATGATCAAACACGCACAAATAACCGAACATTGTCATGCTAGCTAAAACCCTAAGAAGCTAAATCAAACTCTAGCACAAGACAAGCAAGCATTCAACTCCTAATCACACTTAGTCAAACATTCACGATCTAAAGATTCAATCTTTTCCTCCAA